CTTCCTTCCTTCCTTCCTTCCTTCCTTCCTTCCTTCCTTCCTTCCTTCCTTCCTTTCCAAAGCATTTCAATGCCTTGCTTAAGGAATGATTGCATACCGTTTCACTTCCCCCTCCCGCAAAGTAGGTGGAATTACTCAGTACTTTGGTTTAATTGTTCTGAGTCCTTTCTGCCTTCGATGTGAAAAAGTGATCTACAGCAGCGCCAAATGTGATGGAAAGGTATAATTTGACCACCTACCACTAGTTGCTTAAAAGTAATTTTAAGGACCGGGCTGCCATTCAGGATTAATTACCCATTTCTTAATTGCTTCTGCACACCTTCCTGCCTTTCACAGGAAAGGGGACCGGCTCCTGTTCGGATGGTACAAACTACGACGAATTATATCCAGCTCCTTTTGAGGTTTCTCCTCGAAGGAGTTGCTTAGGAGAAAATAAGCTGGTGCTGAAGCCGTGAAAACCCATTTAATATTTTAATATTTGCCCATTTTCCTTTGCTACAAACAGCTTGCTTATTTGCCTCCATTTGAGATAAATAAGTTCTTCATAGGGAGGGAAGGAAAAAAAGAATCTTGTTGAAATAAGCCAAACTTTTTATCACCCCCTGCTCTTATTGTAATGCCTTTAGGTTTTAGCTTTAATTTCTTTCTGAATCACAACTTTCTACTCTGCTTCCCAGGGAATTAACAAACATTATTTCCCTGGTTGGTCTAATCCTGTTTCTCTTTTGGACTGACACTGCTGCCCCCCTTGTCCTCTCTGACCTTTTGTCTCAACTTGATTTTAAAAAAGCGGGCTCTCCATTCATGTTTTATTTTTCTAGAGAGATGGTTTTCCTTATGGAAGTCAGCAAAGGTTTAATATTCTCATGATGGGAGTTAAGTGGTTTCTGACAAGGATTATGCACGAGGCTTCTTTGAAGGATTAAAAATGGCTGCAGGCTTGCTGGAGAGAAAGCACAGCATTTTCTCCCTTGCGGTCCTCATGTGCCCATGTGGGCTTTTCCCCCTTTTAGGGTGTGTCAATATCAGCTTTGATTCCACGGTCCTGTTAGCTGTACAGAGACCTGCCACTTTAGGCTTAGCCATTCCTGTAGATCCTTTTTCGGAGGACGGTCTTCTTGCCAAAAACAAGTAAGCCTCTTGGTGAGCGTTTGCACTCCCCTCTCTTTCTCTGGGTGCACCTACAGTCCATGTCAGCCGATGTGAGTTTGGCCAACAGAAAAAGGAAAGTGCCAGGGTGGGGGAATATTGTCTCACCAAGTTAGTCAGTTGGATGGATGGGGCCGATCTGTTGATGAATCCCTGGCAGGAGGCCAGTTCTTCCTAAACACTGGAAGTTGGAAGGAGAGGAGGGGAGGCAGAGGAAAGGGCTGTTAGTTTAACCCAATTTGACTTTGGGGGAGAGCACCTCAGCATCGCATTATTCAGGCCCCGACACTTGAGAATGGGTGGCTGCCCCATTTCTCTCGGAGGCGGATGTCACAGGATCCTTTCCAGGACAATGGGAAGTTGGTCAAGCATGAGACGGCAACAATACTTTTGGGTATCCTCCGTCTTTCTGCTTCTCCTTAACGAGAACAAGGTCATCCACACCTTGTTTCTTCTGAGCATCTCCTCTCTTAGGGTCACTCGCCATTGCACTGGGAAACCAGACATGTCACTGAGCTTTATCCAAGCGATCCCAGAGCACTCGCAGTTTAACTGTCCTCTTGATACTGCGTACTCTTCCCTTGAAAATGGCAGGGCAGATTTCGCCGTTAGGCTCCTAATCTTAAGAAGCAGGGTGTCGGCAGTTTTTGTGAGGGCTCGTCTGCTGTCGTCCTCTAAGATTTTCTGACGTTTCAGAAAGCATTGCTGACCCCGTCCAGGTGTGACGCATTTGCCATTGGCTGTTTTTTTCCTAGGCACTTGGAGGACGGAAAGCCTTGCAGTGTCAAAAGGAATAATTCTGAAATGAAACTTTTGTTTATATTGCTTGCTCAGACTCTAAGGGGCAAAAGGTTAGCCCGATGCTCACCGAGCGATGGAATATATGCACGCTCCAGATTTTGGAGGACGGCCGCATTTGTCCCATCGAGAGGGCGCTGGGGTAGAGAAGGATGCGTGAAACACCTGCATCCTCCGTGTGTTTCTGCATTTGCATCTTGCCTTGTTAGAACAGGCAGAGCCAAAAGCAGTACAGAAAGTTGCTCATGGCCCTTTAAAGGCAGCTTTAAACAGATAACCCACACAAGATTGGTTTGACCAGACTCCAGTGGTAGCTTCCAGCTCATTCGTGAAGACCAACTGGGACAGGAGGTGCTTGGCCAGAGCCTTGAGCAAGGCAGCGAGGTGCAGCAGTTGCAGGACGTGCTGACCCACTGGGATTAGGGGATTCGTATGAGCCTTGTGGATCTCACAAAAGCACCAGAAAGACACCCCCCCTTTTTTTTTCCCTGGAGATTCAGGAGGTGAATGCAGACGACCTCCAAGACATTCGGGAAAAGGGCTGTGTCTAAAGCAGCCCAGATAGCGCTGGGAGTGAGCTTTGTGTGGAGCAAGAAGTCCTGCATTGTTACGAACTCTCCCCCAGACTGGGAAATACTTCACGTCAGTCCTCCTGGAAAACTCTCTCCCTGAAAGAGCGCTGGTACGAGAGAGGCATCTTTGTTCATTGTTCCCCTTCTTCACTCAGGCAACTTAACATATTCGGCACGGTGGGCTGAGTTACCTGGAAGCGAGGCCTTGTTTCCGCTCCCTTCTGAAAGCACGGTCAGCGAACCATGGGGCGAGTGCCAAATATATAAAAAAGCTCCCCCCAAAAGGACTAGTTTGAACATCCTGCTTGGGGTCCATACTTCAGCCAGCTCCTCGGCTTTCCCCAACTTTGTGCTTCCCACACGCCTGGCGGGGCAGTTCCCGTTTGCTTCAGCCAGCATGGAAAGCATCAACTTGGAGATGCTGTTCCACCTTCACCCACCTTCCGCCCTTCGTTGCCAATGACCTCGCACCTACCGTGCTCTTGAGACAGCCGCGCTTCCGACCCTCCCTCCATAAAAGCCCTGCGGCTGCTGGCAGGATTTTTCTCCTCTTTCCTCCCCCTGCTTTTCTAGGGGCCAGCGGCTTTTGAACAAGCGCTGCCCCGCTAGCCATTGTTGAAAGAAGAATGCCTTTATGTGAAAGAGAGTAGCGAGGGAGGGAATTCTGGAAGAAATCCAGCACCCCACAGCTAAGGGGGGGGGGATCCAAATGACCACCCAGATAGTGGCTGGTGATCCTGAATTGACAGATTGAGTGTCAGTATCTGGGCCGCTGTGACATGCCATGGCTTAGCCTGGTTTGGACAAAACCCTGTTATATTCACCGAGCAGTAGCTCTAATACAAATGCTAAACTGCATTATTTGGATTTTTCAAAATAGATTATTTTATTCTAAAACTCAATGGGGCTTGCCCCCCCCCAATAAGACATACAAGAAACCAATTAAATCCAGGCCTGACCTTCAACCAGCAGGGTGGGCTGATCTTGCTGCCCTGAGTCAGTGGTGGAGTGAGGCTCGAAATAGGGGCTGAATTGATGGCCCACTGGATGGCCCACTTGCTCACTGAATTAACCAAGTTTTGGAGTGTGGATGGGCCTTCTCAGGCTGTCTGGCATCCATCACAGCTACATGGCGTTAAAACTGCCGAAGCTGACCTTGTTTGGGGAATGCAGTACTGCCACAGGGCATGGGAAATTAATCTGGCTACAAACTTTTAAGCTGCACCTGCACGCAAGCTCAGATGGGGAAAGAGAAATCCAAGGAGGCAGGGAGGGGTTTGTTGCAGAATGTGGGCGGTAGCGTGAACTAGTTCGAGATGCATGTATGTTTAGAAAGTCTCCATAACGTAGCGGCCTCCTGAATGGAATTTTCTCCCAATGTTATCCCCTTTATTCCTTCAGTTGATCTGCCTCCTTCCTTTCCCGGGCCTCGATGCTGCTGCTGCTGCTGCTGCTGCTGCTGCTGCTGCTGCTGCTGCTGCTGAATATTCCATATATCTCTTACGAGGGAGGAGCCATGTATAATTTCCTACAGAACTTCCCCCCCCCCCATGCACTTGTTACATGATGCCTCCTGGCTCCTTCCCTGGCAGGTGATTTCTAAGGCCTCTGTAAGCCAGGTGGGAAAAGGAGCTTTGTTTGTCTGCTTTCCTTCACTGCAGAGAAGGAGAACATTGAAACCCAAAATGCTGATTGCAACCTGTGGGATGGAGTGTTGGTGATTCCCACCGCCCCAGAGCAAGTGGGTAAGTTTGGGTGATGCCGCATGGGACGAAAGAAAGGAAAAATTTGATCTGACAGATTGGTGGAAAGGAAGTTTTAATCTACCTCCAACTCATCTGTCTTCATGCTAATTCAGGCTTCTTCTGAAGATGCAACTTCTCAGATGCATAAGCTCAGCCGGATGGCTTCTGACAAGCTGCCCTGCAGAAAAATGAGATTGGCTGAGATTAAGAACAGATGATATCAGGCAGCCTATATGCATGCATAAAACAAGGTTGCAGGATCATTGCAGGCTTTTGAGATGCACCAGAAGGCTGTTCGCTGGGCATCAGACAGACTTTCAGGCCCTTAAGATGTACCTGCAATATAATAAACACAGTCTCTTTTTGGTAGAGTTCAGCTCCTGTTGACCGCAGGTAGGGTTTTCATTTTTTGACAACGCTCTGGAAGCAGTTTGCCATTCCCTCCTTCCAGGATAGCCTACAGCCCTGGGACTTTTTGGAGGTGTCTATCCAAATACTAGCCAGGCCTAATCCTGCTTAGCTTCCAAGCTAACACTGACATATCAATAAGTCCCAAATGATCAGTCAGCTTGTCTGGCCGAGGGAAATAGTTAACAGCTACTGGGTCTAAGAGGCCTTGCTTAAAAGGCACTCCCATTAATTTAGACCAATACTGGGGAATGAGTCACCACCCAGGTGCGCCTCTAAAGCTGCCTTCCCCACAATAGTGACTTGTGGATATGCTGGGGCTACAACTTGAGGGGTTCCTGCCAGCATGCTTGAAATTCTGGGATGTGCATTTCCAAAACTGCTGGATGTTTGCAGCTACAAGCGTCTGGATTATTATAGTTGTAAGATGGATAGATGATCAGAAGTTGCTAAGGGAGAGTTTTAGGAGCCATAAAGGTTGTATTCTTAGAGGCAATGCCTGTGGTCATTGTGGTTAGATTATTTTTGGCATTATTTGGGGGAGATAGCTATCTATCTATCTGTCTGTCTGTCTGTCTGTCTGTCTGTCTGTCTGTCTGTCAGTCAGTCAATCAATCAATCAATCAATCAATCAATCATCTATCTATCATCTATCTCACTGTGTTTTCTGGTCCGCCTTTGTCGTGATTTGCCGTTCCGGATGGAG